GGTATGGTTACCCGAATTGCTATGTCATTGTATTTTGTTCTCTTGTGGGGAGGTAAACTCACTAAGATAAGCATATTCACCTCTCATCCTTTTTTAAATTGAAACTGTTAGAAAAGATAAATCAGAAGTGCTCAATTTTATTCATCTACATAGGGCTATATATAGTACATAACTCATACGGCTAATAGGTTAATGAGCCTAAACCCAATAACCCAATACTAATACCAACACTTCCCCTCAAGCTGGAACATATATATCAATGCCCAGCTTGTTACACAAAATGGAAAACACCTTGGGTGAGATAGCTTTAGTGAGAATGGCAGATAACTGTTTTGAAGACGGAGTGAACTGAAGAGAGATTACTTTCTTTTCCCAAGTATCTCTGACAAAATTATAATCAACCTTAATGTGTTTAGTTCTCTCATGAAACACTGGATTCTTTGCAATATAGATAGCTGACTGGTTGTCACAATACATAGGCATAGATCCAGGTTGAGTAAAACCAAGCTCTGTTAATAATTTCTGCAACCACATTATCTCACAGATAGTGTGAGTCATAGCTCTGTATTCTGCCTCTACACTAAATCAAGATACCACATCTTATTTCTTGCTCCTCCAAGTTACCAAATTTCCTCCGATAAAGGTACAAAATTCAAAAGTAGACTTCCTATCTCCTATGTCTCCCGCATACCTATCATCAGAAAAGACAGAGATGTGTAAATGTCCATGTTTCTTATATAGTAATCCTTTTTCAGGACAGCTTTTAACATATGCTAAAATCCTCAGAGCCGCTATCCAGTGAACCTCTCTTGGTTTATGAATAAACCTGCTCAGTACTCCCACTGCAAAGGTAATATCAAGCCTGGTCACAGTAAGGTAGATTAACTTTTCAATCTCCTATATCGACCTGTATCATCTAGGAGAGGACTATTATTACGCCACAAATCCACATTCACCTTCATTGGAGTGCTTGCTGGCTTACACCCTAAAAGACTCATTTCTCCTAATAGATCCAATACATATTTCCTTTGAGATAGAAGTAAACGGTTTTTTTGATACGCAAACTCAATCCTAAGAAAGTATTTGGGTTTTCTCATATCTTTGGTCACAAAGTGACGTGAAAGGTACTCCTTAGTTTCTGTTAAAGCAGTAAGGTCACTCCCAGTCAGCAGGATATTATCAACATATACGGCCAGAATCACCAAACCAGATATAGTACGTCGAATAAAGACTGAGTGATTTGACTGACACCGTTTAAAATTGACACCATATATAGCAGTACTGAATTTTTCAAACCATGCCCGTGGACTTTGTTTGAGATCATAAATCGCCTTTTTAAGCCTATAGATAGTATTCTCCCACTGAGTAACATACCCCGAAGGTTGCTCTATATAGACTTTCTCCTTCAAGTCACCATACAGAAAGATATTTTTAATATCCAGCTGAAACATGGTCCAGTCTAGATTAACAACCATAGAGAAAATGAGGCTAATAGAATTGAGACAGGTAACGGGAGAGAACGTCTCAAGATAGTCGACCACATAAATTTGAGTATAACCCTTGGCAACAAGACGATCTTTACAGCGATCAACAGAATCATCTGTGCGATATTTCAAGGTATATACCTATCGACAGCCAACCACAGTAGCACCCGTAGGAAATGGAATAAGATCCCAAGTCCCTCTAGAAACAAGTGCACCTATCTCCTCATTCATGGCCTGTTTCCAAATAGGAACTAACATGACCTCCTCATATGACCTGCGTATAGATATGAAGGACAAGGACAAAGCAAACTGATGAGAAGATGGAGTAAGATGGTCATAGAAAATAAAATCAGATATAGGATGATTAGTACAAGATCGTTTTTCTTTCCGATGAGCAATAGAAATATCTAGATTAGGAGCAATAGAAGTATTAGTAGGAGGCAGACCGACAACTGGAGATGACCTATCGGCTGGAGCAGAGAGAGAGACAGAAACTTTTGTACGTCGAGAATACGTCAGTAGTGACGGTGGTGCAGGTGACACATTAGAGTCATCCTGTAATCCTAGAGAAGATACATCATTAGAAGGAACTGGAGCAGACAATAGAATAGTAGTAGGAGCAATAGATGATAGAGGAACACAAGGATCGACAGTTGGAGACGAACTACACAAGGATCGACAGTTGGAGACGAACTACCCGAAGAGAAGTATGGAACAGACTCAAAAAGGTAACATCAGCAGACACAAGATACTTTCTGGTGGATAGAATATAACACCGATAATCTTTTTGAGTATGCGGATATCCCACAAAGACACCCTTAATAGACCGTGGAGACAATTTATCCAGTCCCGGAGATGAATCCCGAACAAAACAAGTACAGCCAAAGACACGAGGAACCACAGAAAAAATTTGTTTCTCAGGATAAATGCAGGTGAATGGTATTTTACTACTAAGAACAGAAGAGGGTATCCTATTGATCAAGAAACATGCACTAAGAACAGCATCAGACCATAAATACTTTGGAATATTCATATGTATCATTAAAGTTTTAGCAACATCTAAAATACGTCTATGCTTTCTCTCAGCAACTTTATTTTGTTGTGAAGTGTGAGAACATGAAGTTCGATGAAGTACCAATATTTGCACAAAAATGAGAGACATCATTTTTCATGTATTCCAAAGCATTATCGGTACGAAGAATACGAATGGAAGTAGAAAATTGGTTTTTTATTTCATTGTAAAATATTTCAATAACAGTTGAAACCTCAGACCTCTCTTTTAACAGATAAAGTCAAGTCATGCGAGAGAAGTCATCAACAAAGACAATGAAATATCTAAAACCTTTCACAGAAGTTATACGACAAGGACCCTAAACATTAGAATGAACTAACTCAAACGTAGAAAATTGCTGCATTTATCAACACGATTCTGATAAGTAGCACGATGGTGCTTACCCAGTTCACAAGACTCACAACCTAAAGATGAAACAGAAGACTGGATAGAAATGACAGATCGAAGCTTCGATAACAAGGGATGACCAAGGCGCCAATACCACAATAAAGGATGATCAGATTTATCGGCAACAAGACCAGTAGCAGGCGTATTTTGGTCCAAATAGTACATGTCTCCTCTCTCATGCTCCGATACCATGTTAGAAAGATAAATCAGAAGTGCTCAATTTTATTCATCTACATAGGGCTATATATAGGAGTTTTTACATAACTCATAAGGGTAATAGGTTAATGGGCCTAAAGCCAATAACCTAATGCTAATACCAACAGAAACAAATAATAGATTACAAATTTTAAAATTTGTTATCCTATAATTTTGAACCCGCCAATTTTAGAATTTGATTTCCTATAATAATGTTGAACCAAACAAAATACTAAAAAGCCCAAAGCATCTATAAAACACTATAGATTTGAAATTCTCATGAGATTATAAATCCTAAATTTTTTGAATTTGAACAAAACAGCCCCTTAGATATTTTTAAGGTTAATCTAACATAAGTACCATATGGTTTCTTCTAAATTGCACTTATATACCTTCACTTGTTGTCTACAATACTTTTACACCCTAAAATTTTAAACTTGCATTTTAATACCCTCAGTTATGCAAACATGAGAATTTGCCCCCACCATAAAAAATTGTCATGTGATACTTAATGCTAATTTTATATTAATCAAAATCTTAATATTTGTTAAATTATTGTTAAAACTATTAAAATGCTATTTTAATTAAAATAGAATTATGATAGGTTTAACATTAAATTCAACAAAAATTATGGGTGAAAAAGTTTCAAAATTTGCATGTAAGTGTCAAATGAGAATTTTCGGGAGGAAATTCTCTCATTTGCATAACTTAGGATATTAAAATGCAAAATTTAAAAACTTTAGGGTGTATACATAAAGTGCTGCCAAAACAAATTAGGGTATCTAAGTGCAAAATAGGGGAAGCTATTGGGTATTTAGGTGCAGTTAAGCTAGTTTGTAAGAAGGTTAACTAGTGTATCTGTATAAATATGTAAGTTGTCAGTTATAGCTACTATGCATATATGCAAGTTACAAAAGTGGCCCATCCCCAAACTTATACCTAGCACTGCTCATGACATAGAAAATTCATTTTCCAATAACAATTGAGTTACCAAAATTTTCATTAGAATATATATATATATATATATANTAATTCCACCATAAAATGCAAAACCTACATGGAAAAATGTAAATCCAATTTCACAAATCTATTATTAAATGCAAAATGTACATAGAAATTGAAACCTGATTTCCCTATTCTACTTGGGAAAAAAAAACAAATTACACTATTATATGAAATAGAAATCCATTTTAGATTACAGCACAACTCTAAGTAAATAAAAATATAAAATTAAAATAAATTATGGATGATAATCATGTAGATGATAAAAATCTCAACATTTTGAACCAAAATGCAAACCCACTCATACAAATGAGCTCATGGAGATGTTCATATTTAACGTTAAACCCTATAAATTGAGTCCTAGAAGAAAGAAAAAAAGTCTTTTGTTTTGATTGAGGATAAATCAATAATATATTAACTTTGATATAACATTTCTCTATTATATGATGGCCTCCTAATTGAAATATTAATTTTTGGTAAAGTTGGATATCATAAGATCATCTTGCCTTTGTTATTACATGATATACTAATGTATGTATGAATAGTAAAATGAATATCATGTCGTAGAAGAGGAAAAAATGAAGAGAGAGAAACTAACATCATGATTCTAAATTGTCCAACTCATCATAAAATATGAATCGGAACGTAAAGCAATATTCAAGTTAGTTTCTTGACCGATAGATTTTCATGACCAAATTTAGATATTCTCAAGTTTTAATAGTCGAGACCATTTTTCACATGTAATTCATTATAATTTAATAGAAAATCACATGACATGAGTCCTGTTTATTCTGAAGAGGTGGACTCTTCACTATCTAACTTTATTGCAATGCACCTTATTGCAACTTAAGTTGTTAGCATTAACAACCTCCTGGGCCACCCAAATAGAACATGAATCCAATCTCGGCACGATAAAACTCTCCCACTCTGTAGCAATCTTTTTTATCAACATGACTGCTCACTCGATCTGGTGTCAAATCATAGGGTTGTCCATGTTGATTCACAAATTGAATATCCTGAATTGCTGCTGCTTTTCCCCCGCCTTCCTCGGGAAAATGACCACTTCCCAGTGGAGGACCTTTTAGATTTTTGGCGAAGTTAACATTTCCATTCCAGGCGATTTGTTGGGCACTCTCGAACAAACTAGTAAATAAAGTTTCTGGCCAATACCCTAATAAGGAGTCTTGAACGTGCAACAACCAATTTCCACTTATGTTATCCTGTAACCATAAGATTATTACAAGCACAAAAAAAATTCATGACCATGATATTACATTTTCTAGTTTTAATAAAGGTGGCAATGCGCAAATATATACGGCTCTATTTTTTCAACATAAAATTTAAAAGATCTTCAAACGCTATATCCTCAAAAGATCTTGAAACACTATAATCTCCGTATGGAAACTAATGAGGGTGCCATAGATTACCAAGACCTAATACCAAATTATGACTTTTTGTTATGATAGTCAAAAATTGCTAAATGTTACTATTATGAGAGGTATGCTACATGTGTTATATAGGAATGAGGCCTATTATCAAGTAAGGATCTCCTCAAACCGAGTCGTGTAACTCATTTATGCAGAAACATGTAAAAAGTGCCGTGTTTCCAACAAAGGGCACAAAAGTATTCGATGGGTTAAGCTTGTACGTTTCAAAGTAACAAATCTTCCTCTCTATCCCCAATTCCTTTTTCCCCACAAAGCAACAAGCACGATCCTTCTCTCTTTGTGATTTGGTGCTTCTCTCTTGCTAATTTTTTTGTTGATTCTTCTCAAAGGGTAATTAGAAATTCACAAAGCTCGTAAAGGATACGGACTCCTCAATTTGTCTACTAAAAAGTAGAGATTTTGAGATGTGGCTCCTATTGTGTTGATTGAATGCTCTAATGGATTGTTAAAGATTTATCTCTTCATATCTAGTTTGTTATCAGGTTGATGAGTCTCAGAATAAGAATGTTCAAATTTAGACTCTGGTTGTATTCAAGGTTTTGATCCCTTAATCCGCTAATGAGAAAACTCTATTTGAGATTGATAATCAAATATTAAACTGGAAGAGAAAATTCTATTTGAGGTTAATAATCAAATTCTGAAATGGAAGAGAAAACCCTACTTGAGATTTACAAAATACTCTCCAAGTCTCCCTAAAAATTCAAATAAAAAAGAAAAAAGAAAACCCATGAATCATTGTGTGCTATCAATTTGAAGCATACCGCATGAAGAAGATTATGGAAGATGATGGAATAGCAGAACAATTGCTGTCAAAACCCATCTTTGATTATTTATGAGGAAAGATTGTATTTTGGGCTTAATTGGACACATGCCACTCTTTTGCAAGTTCTGCATAAATAAGTGATACGACCCACTGAAGGGGTCCGTATTCCCTATTATCATGGAATATGAGAAAATTCTTAATCCACTAAAAAAAGTATTGTTAATATTAGGCACTCTTATTTGATCAAACATTGAGAATCTTGAATCACATAAACGGTGTACAACTTAATAGATATTTTGCTTATCAAGTAAGGGTAACATGATAAATTTTTTAAAAGAAATAGCAGAAATACTCTTACACACACACACACACATATATATGTGTGTGTGTGTGTGTGCGCGCGCGCGCGCGCGTGCGTGTGCGTGCGTGGGTGCGTGGGTGCGTGTGTGTGTGTAAAGGCATTAATCATTTTAGTGTTGGATAGATGTAGGAAAGAATCGAATTATAAATTCTATAAAAACGATTTGTTAGGTTAACTTGAATGTCCAAGCACATTTCAAGCTTCAGATTTCATTTCCCCCCCCTTACACCTAGCATAAAATATTCCTTTCTAAATTTTCCAATTTTTTATAGAAATCTACATTTTTTTCTCAGCCATGTTTATATTAGTAAATAAATTTTCTAAGAAATCTCAGTTTGACATATAAGTAACTACTGACCAAAGGATTAAGTATAAACAAAGCTTATAACAATCGCTAAAAGTGTTAACTCAAACAGAAAATAGCGATTAAAGATACATAAAAATGAGAGATCTTATTGGAGAAACAAAGAAAGAAAGAAGAGGAAAATTAACGCGTGAAATAATGACATTGTGCAAGGTGACTATTTAATTATCTACATCATCAAGTGGCACAAATAGTGCATTATGTACTTTGGAATTATTTGTAGGTAAAATTGAACCATGTTATGCCGTGCCATTAGCATTAAAAAAACCACACAAAAAAATGTTTTAAACGCTTGGGTTTCAAAATATAGTAAATTAGCAAAACATAATAACTTACACCATATACCAAACTGTTGAAGTACAAAATATGTTTAAAATGAATTCGTTGAAGTATTTTGGGTCTAAGCATGATTTTGAAGCGTGTGACTTTTAAGATAAATGGTGCTAAAACTTTGTATTTATAGGCGAAAAACCCATAAATAGTTTGCTATGTCCCAACAAATATGTGAAAAAAGCCTAAGAAAATAATAGTTTAAGCACTTAGTTTAAGAATATAAGTTTAGGTGACCATTTAGAACAATAATATAAAAAAACATAACAACTTTCACTATTTAACAAACTATTAAAATACAAAGTGGCTTTGAAATTAATTTGGTGGAGTAATTTGATTCCAAGTGTGATTTTGTAAGTGGGTTGGTTTAAAAATAAATAGAGTAAAACTTTTGGTTTATAGGTAGAAATCCTTTTTGGATTTAAAAATAAATGGGGTAAAGCTTTATGTTTATGGACACAAATCGTATCTACAGTTCGTGATTACGCGACATTAGTATGAATAAGCACACCAAAAAAAACAGTGATTTAAGCATTTAGTTTAAATATATACCTTATATCTAAGCACAAAGTGTAGCTAATTATATACTAAACTAACAAAATAGGACAAATTACAAAGAGGGTATTAATATAATTCAATGGAGTATTTTGGGTACGAGTAATTTTGGGAGTGGGTGGGTTCAAAAATAAATGAGGGTATAACTTTGGGTTTATAGACAAATAACCCTTTATATTTTACTTGATTATATTATTATATTATTTTAGGTTTTGGTATATTTTCCCATTTTAATCAAGCATATTTGCAAAACTATTCCCTATATCTTGGTTTTCACAAAACTACCTCGAATTATGACCTTTGAAAAGAAACCGAATAAACAAACCATCAATTTTGATAAGTTAAAAGTGAATGTAATGTGAAAGTATCAACAAAACATTAAAATTATTATGCATTTTCCTTTTACTTATTGTAATAGTGTAAGTTTTTAATTAATGAAATCTTATAATTTTTCATAAAAAAATAAGTATGATAGTTTAGTTGCTTTTTTTAATCATGTCCACAATTGTAATTCATGATAAAGACCCACTGAATTAAGTGGTTTCATAAGCTCAGCTTAGTGAAGAAAAGGGTAGAAGATACACTTACTGTCTAGGTTATGCAAACCTTTGGTTATCTTCAAAAGGAAAAGGGCATGTCTATGGGTTAAACAAGTAATACATGTAACTAGAATTCTTCTTCTTCTTTTTTTCCCTTCAAATTAATACATGCAAAATAGATGTTGGCTTAAATGCATATTATGTATATATTAAAAAGGTAAATATTAGCAGGTTCTCTACTTTTTGAGGACAAAAAAAAAGTGTAGAACTTGTTAATATTTACCTATATACAATATTTTCTGATAATTTATTGTAGTATAGCCCATAGAAAGTGATTTAAGAAATTTCTGTAAGAATCAGTTGGTAGAAAATAAATAGATGGAGAAAAATAATTGTATCACCTTGTGTATTTTAACTTTTATAATATATTGGTCTCCCTTGTATTTGGAAAGTGGCCAAATCTTAAACCCTGGAGCTTGTGAAGGACTAGAGGGTACAAAGCCTTTGCATAGAACATTGTAGCAGCCTGTATTCTTGAAACCATCAGCCTAGCATATTAATACTATAGACTATGAATTTCAATAATAAAAAGAATTAATACGTAATTAATATGTAATCACCAGTATTAAAATCAATAAGAAGATAAGTCTTACGGTCCAATAAGTAAAAAAAATGAGTATCGTTATCACCGTATAGATCCGGAAATACCTAGCACACAATTTTAAAAGATCATGTTATAATCCAATATGATTTTAAATTTATTTTCCAAATTAAAATATTTGAATTTTTTTAAGAGGAAAAAGAAATCTCAACATAGTAGTGAATAATTACATTTACTATGAAATTCTTAACCAAGTTTGCAATAAATATTACTCACATGCCACCCAGCTGATATTGAATTCAAAATGTTGGATGAATCATTCATTGCAGTAACAAGGCTAACAAATACTGAAGAGAGTTGGTTAGTTTGAACATTTGGTAAACCATAGACAATGAGAGCTGCTTGGGTTCCCCATTTTCCTTCATTACTGAAATATGATGCAAACTGAACATGAAGCAGAAATGAAAGGCAATGAAAATTTATATTCATAAATTAAATAAAAATTGAGTTTGAATGAGGGACATCTAAATCTCACATATTGAACACGATCACCAAGACCATTAACAGAAGTGCCATTTGAAATATAAATAGAAGTACCATTTGCAATATAATTTCTTTCTGGAAAAAGAACCTTCACTCCGGGCCCCTTTTCATGAAGGGCCTCGTCCTGCATCAAAGAAAAATTAAAGATAATATTCATAAAACGTTATATTATTCTGATGCCAATGGTAAGAAAGAGTATGTACTGACGCCAGTGGTAAGAAAGAGTATGTACCTGAGTGGGCTCCTCTCTCTTTATTCCCTTGGCTCCATTAAGACAAAGGACAAAGCAAAGGAGAACAAGCCCCAAACAGTAAAACTTAGTGACCACCATTTTGTTGATTACAATGGTGGAGACTGGGATTTTTAAACTCTTTATAGGGCAGATATATTTGGTTGTTGCATGATTTCTGTTGTGGATCATGATTCAAATCCTTATCCTAATATGATTATTTTGAATTGGGTTATTAAATTGACAATATGGTGAGCAAGTCCTATTGCAAATAGGATTTGCATCATTCCCTTTTTTTCAGTAAAAGCATTATGTTATATCATTTGATGTTATGTGCGGCTGGCTTAGTTATCTTTAACTTAGCAATAAGATATTTCTGGAGATTGTAGTGCAAAGAGGAATATACATTTTAGAAAAGCTCGAGAAATTGAGCACAGTTTTCGTGAAGTAGATAGAAAATTTGAGTTGCTTCCAGATTTCAGCTTAAATGTGCCGAGTTATGATTCCACTTCGTTACTGAAGCTTAATTTCGAAGATTGGTACTTTACACATGAAATTTTCTTTCAAAGTTCAGCTTCAAGTTATAAAATTAATAAATCATACTTAAAATGTGACTGGTAGAGTTAATGGCAGCAATATGCCTACCATTTCTCCAAATATTTAGACTCGGTTTTCATTGTTGCAGTTGGAGTCATTTCATGCCTTCTGTTTAGAGACCGCATAATTTGAAACTTTTTTATTGATTACATAACAAACCTGTCATAGATTGGTACTTCTCCACTTGACTTTGAATATTAAAGATAAAAAACTAATTGCACTAGATACATATCATTTGGGCATATGGATCATTCTTTTTAATGATCCACTATTTAAGTATAAAGTTGGTGAAACTAATTTACATGTTGTTAGTAAATATAACATATCTTTCTCTATACTATCTCTTTTTAAGATTAGTCTTCTGTTTTAGAAACTAGATACATATATCTTTCATTTGGCACTGGTTTGGTTAAATTTGGAGTTTATTTTCTATTTCTAAATCTCAGTTAAACATGATACAATTGCTACAGTTTTCTGCAGAAAATATTTATTTAGTACATCTCTTAAATTTCTCATATATAAATAAAATTATGAAAAATCCTAATGATCATGATCATGATACTATCATAAACAGCAAGAAAAAAATTTACTAATCTAGCATTGGTTTATGTTTTAACATCAAAAAATTTAACTTTTATCACATCATGTTAAGATTCAAGTATGAAAACACATATTCAACATCATATTAAACATCTAACTAGTTATTTAACTATGGGGAAGGGTTTGGATGAAGATAATCTTGCCTTAGACATCGTTCTAAGCCTCTGAAATAACCAGCAACTAAAAAGAAGTACAACCAAGCCGTTTTCCCCTTCCTACACGTTGATGATCTCGTCCTCGTGTCGATATTTGCTTCACAAAGCTCTCAAAATTTTCAACTTTAGGGCTAGGGATTCAGAGAGAGGAAAATGGGCTGCTAGGGTTTGAAACTCTGATGTAAGGATGTTAATTTTCGTGAAAACACGTGTTTATATATATGTAAACCCGAAATAAACCCGTTTGACCCGAACCAGGAATCCTAATCTGACTAGGAAAATGACCTCCGGTATTTTGGTCATAACTTTCATGTCCGACCTCGGAATGAGGTGATCTAAGACTTGTTGGAAAGCTCTTGAAGATACCTACAACTTTTGTCTTTTAAGTTTTTCCAAATTCCAACTACATCCGTGAGAAAAAATATAAAATCTCTTCGCTGGTCATAAATTTCTAGATTTATACATCGAGCATGAATTGTGCATTTGCCTTAAAAGAATTTCGTCCTCGAAATTCAGAAATCATACTTAAACAAATAATAATACTAGAAAAGCACGTAGAGGGTCTAATTTAACCCACAAAGGCGCAAACATAAACATCTCAGAATATTTACTCTTGATAAGCATATAGGGATGTTTATATTTAACAATCCAGGATGACTATATTCCCACTCAACCCTTAATCGAATGGATCTAGTACGTCGGGCGAAAAATCCAAACAAGGAACCCCCCATATATATACCATGTGTTCCAAAAGATTAAGAATTAAGCAGAAATATCATCATTCTAGCGTTAAATCTAAATATAACCACACAAATAATCGCACACATAAATCAATCAACTTCCTCAATAGGTGCAGGAAGTCGCGCGACATAACATATTTGCGCTCTCAAAAATCATCTTCGATGTCTACACTTAACCATCTAAAATGTAAATACCCCCACTTAACACCTAACTAAATGGAACAAGTACATCGAGCGAAAACCCAAACAAGGAACCCCTCATATATATACCATATGTTCCAAGTACTTAGGAGATAAGTGGTAATACTCTTATTTTAGTGTTAAGTATAAACATCGCCATACATGCAACCATAAGCCATAAACAAGTCATACAAAAATTTAATTTACTAGATCAAACATGTGTGGGTAGTCGTGATGTATACCCTCCTCGCGCTCCCAAGAACCTTCTCAACTCCTTTCCGGTTTTGCTGAATTGCCACAAAGGAAAAACATCTTGTTTCTAAATTTCTTGTCTTCCCTAGCAAGCATACAAACTTGGATTTCAATCGTAGTCAGATCATTCTAAAGCTAAATCTTCAGTGTGTTCATCATTCGCTGCTGCTCTACATCATGAAAGTGCTTCCTAAGCATAGAAACATGAAATGCATTGTGTATACTAGACATCGATGCTGGAAGATCTAGTCTGTATGACACAGCTTTAATGCTCTTCAAAATCTGATACGGTCCAATGTATCTCGATGTAAGCTTTTTCTGTCTCCCAAATTGCTAAACACTTTTCACATGCGATACCTTCAGCCTAACCGAATCTCCAATCTGAAACTCCAAGGGTTTTCATCTCTTATTAGCATAGCTTTTTTGCCGACTCTAAACGGCTAGAATCCAATCTCTGGTCAATGTTACTTCCTCAGTAATCTGTCTCATAAGTTCTGGCTCAAGTATTAAACTCTTCTCCGGCTCTACCCAACATATAGACGATCTGTAAGGCCTCCCGTACGATACTTCATACGGGGTCATACCAATTGTCACTTGATAATTATTGTTCTAAACGAACTCTATCAATGAAATATGGTGCTCCCAGCTACCTTAAAAATCAAATAACACAAGCCCACAATTTGTTTTCTAACATCTGAATTACTCTCTCCGTCTGACAATCCGTCTCAATTTGATACTGTCGTATCTGGAACTCCACGAAGTTGAATAGTCTCCTGAATAAATATCCTCCCTGGAATAAAATGTGCTGACTTTATCAGTCTATCAACTATCACCCCAAACCGAATCATTCTCTTTCTTTGACTTCGATAACCTTACAATAAAGTCCATAGAATTGTCCGCCCATTTCTACTCCGAAATGGGTAAAGGCTGATGTGTTCCTGTCGGTCTCTGATGTTTCGTCTTTACTCACTGACAGGTAAGATACTTAGCTACATAGTCTGAAATCTTCTTACGCATATCACTCCATCCAAGAGTGTCTCTTTAGGTCATTTTACATCTTAGGGGTCTCTGGATGCACTGTGTACCGAGTACGATGTGCTTCATCTAGCGACTCCCTCTTAAGCTCTACATTGGCTGGCATAACCAACATGTCCTTCATCTGTAGACTTCCATCTGCTCCAACGGTCCAATCAGTCTTAGGCTCTTTGTAAATTTCCTCCTTTTGGATCTGAATTCAATAGTTTTCTAACTGAGTTCTGACAACTCTGACACTCCAAGTTGGCTGCACTGACACAGCTCCCTACAATGCACTGGTTCTACCAATCTCATGTCTAAAATCACACTGGCTAAGGGTGAGAATATCTCAATACAACGAGCACCTCTAAGCCGAAACCCGATGTTGACGTTTCTTACTCAAGTCTTCTGCTACGATATTTTTCTTCCCCAGATGATACTGAATCGCAGACTCGTAGCCCTTGATAAACTCAATTCACCTCCTTTGTCTCTGGTTGAGTTCCTTCTGAGAAAAAAGATACTTAAGACTCGAATGTCTGTGAATAATTCAAACTGTACTTTATATAAGTAAAGTCTCCATGACTTCAATGCAAATACCACTGCTGCTAACTCCAAGTCATAAGTAAAAATAGATCTGCTCTTAAGACTCTGATGTCTGTGAATAATTCAAACTGTACTTTATATAAGTAAAGTCTCCATGACTTCAGTGCAAATACCACTGCTGCTAACTCCAAGTCATAAGTGAAAATAGATCTGCTCATGTACTCTCAATTGCTACGAGACATATGTTACTACTCTCTGAGTCTGCATCAAAACGTCTCCTAACTCTGCCAATGATGTATTTGTGTAGACCACAAATGTCCTGTCGTTGCTCGGAATAGTTAAAACTGGCGCTGTAGACAATTTAGCCTTCAAGGAATCAAAGGCCTTCTGGTACTCTATGCTCCAAATGAACTATACACCCTTCTTCGTAAGGCGTGTAAGTGGTGTCGAAATCTTCGAGAAGTCCTAGATAAACTTCTAATAATAGCTGGCTAAACCCAAAAAGGTATGAATCTCTATCTCCGTCTTCGGCGGATTCCAAATCAAGAACTGCTGAAATCTTAGCCGGATCTATTGCTATGCCCTTTCTGCTGATGATGTGACCGAGAAATCTGATTTCTGAAAGTCAAAACTCATATTCGCTGAACTTGACATATAACTGATGCTTCTGTAGAGTCTACAAAGCTAACAGGAGATGCTGCTCGTGCTCTACCTCCGATCTCGAATAAATGAGGATGCCGTCGATAAAAACTATCACGAACTGATCCAAGAAGGGACGAAAAACCCGGTTCATCAAATCCATGAATACAGTGGGTGCATTGGTCAACCCAAATGGTATGACCAGAAACTCAAAAGATTCATATTGAATCAGGAAAACACGGCTTTGGGAAAATCCCTCTCTCGAACTCGCAACTACAATAACCTTAAACGAATATCAGCCTTCGAGAAACATGCGCTTCGCGCAGCTGATCAAACAAGTCATAAATCCTAGGTAATGGGTACCTATTCCGAATGGTGACAT